TGGTGAATGAAAACTAAAATTAAGAATAAGAAAGGAATCGGCCTCAACATACAATCATAATATGTATGTCAAAGGACACGTCACGTACAGATAACTGCTGGTCATAATACCAAATAATCGATATACACTACATTCAAAGTAATAAATTCAGTATGTGATATGATGGAGCAAGGTGATTTCAATTTGAACCGTTGAGGTTATGAGGGCACTATGTAGAGTCTTATTGTTTGAAGTACATTTGTAAATCGGTAAAAGTTTGCGCTTTTGTATCAATAAATATGTTTAGATAAACTTTGAGCCAATTGCTAACTTTAGGTTAACTTTACTGCGATGACTTGTACCACATTATTCTTAAGATCCTTTATAACTATCCACTAGATTATCAAATAAGCTGTAGTAGTTTGAGTCGTTAAAATAGTACTTTACCACTAATTTCAAAAGGGTTAACTCTTTAGCTTATTTGGTAGAATAGCTGCGAGGCGTGCGTGCAAGGGGTCTCGGATTCAATACCTAGACCAAGAAGATACAAAAGTCAGATTGCCACAGAAAAACTGGTATTCAGTTAGTGATTGTCCCATGATCCTCAGATAAGATCCGAATACAATCCTTGTCTGTAATGACTGTTGTTTATGCTGTTTTTGATTCTTCTTGGCTCCAGATATAACGCGGAACCTCTCGCGCACATGCAAGTGTTTTACACACTGAACTTAGGAGCTAACCTGTTAAAAACTGAAATTAAGAACTTTTCATAATATATCGTACTACCAAATTCTTCCCGAGATTTCTTTTTCAAGGTAGTAGACAACCGCTAGAGTATTTGTATTCTTGTGGGAATCCCATTTTTACAATATTTACCAACTTGATTGTGATTGTGGAGCGTGATTGTGAGAACGCTATACTCGCAATCTGCGGGTAGCAGGTTCGAATCGCAACTCAGAATTTGCTCTTCCTTTCAGTCGTGGTGTCGTTATAATGGGGTAGTCAACCACAGTTTTCCTTGATAAAAGGGTAGCCTAAAAGTTGGTTGTAGGTGGTGTTGACTGGCTGCCTATTCTTTTGTCTATTACTTCAAGATTAGGGTTTGCTGATCCATATAAATCCCTCGAGTAGTTTTGTGCGAAATTCAACAAACACAGAGATTAGTTCCCATTATTCAAATGATAGACGTATATGAAATATTTATACTAGTATTTGTTGTTTATGTCAACCGAATAGATCTCAGTACAGGTCTATTAACATACAGACATATCGTACAGATTAATTCATTGTTAAAAACTGATAATCATTTTTGTTTTTATTTTATCCTTCCCCACGTTTTGTTGTATGAAATGTTTTTACAATTCATGCGATTTTATTTCTTTATTGTATTCGGATACTGAAAATTATAAGATACATTTTGAATGTCCGGTCAAAAACACCTAAAAGCTAGGGGAACTATCTTACATAAGTGTTCTTAGTATGATATAAAAATATGTTGCTCAGTAACTTCAAATTATTCAACTTAGTTACGCATATTTTAAATCGGATAGTCAGGTGGTTGCTGCTAATGCCCTGAGTAACTTAAAACTATGCGACTTAGTGACATCTGTTTGTAGTTTGCCCTGTCATGCGGTTTCTGCTAATGTACGACATCATCCGACATTTACTCACGACAAATAACCACATAATTTGCAGTAATTTCCACACAAAAGAACTGTCTTAAACTTCGTACTCTATCATGTAGCAAAGTAACGAACTATATCCACATAAGCATATAGAGAGCATATATACAAAAATGTAGGCAAGCAATCGTAGATGAGAATTCGGTCACTAATTGGCCACTTATATGTGTCTCATATTAAACTGAATCTCGTTATCATAAAGTAATCAAAAGACATCTTACGTGTTGTATATAAAACCTGCCGCACATAACAGTGTTATTGCTGTTGTTTTTTAGCGCAATAGGCTATCTGTGATCTGCCTATCGCGCGGAATTGAATCTTGGATGTTTGCGTTGTAAGTCCGTAAACACATTACTGATCAACTAGGGACCATAAGAAGGTATAAAATTCATAACACTGAGATACGACATACCAATAAAACACTTTCTTTTTGTTTTGTTTTCACAAAGCAACATTTTTTTTCCCCATTTTATCAGTACGGATATGTATTAACAGCACTCATGAAGTTATTTTAGCCAGTTGTCTTATGTGTTAAAATGTATTTGTGACCATATGGTGACAAACATAATTGAAAATTATAAAATTTGTTTCTGAGGCACAAACGTTTTTGAAATGCCATTTTGCAACAGAGGATATAAAGATATATTACATGCAGGTGAACTGTAGTTTGAGTAAAGTCGAAGTATCAATTGAGTTTCAGAAATTTTAAAAATGTCAGTTGGACAAATGTTTCAATTCCCAATTGATAGACACTATCTCGGTGACATTGATATATATTTATAAACTATCCTATTTTCAGTATGAAAATATACCAAAACGATGAAAGTAGGATAGTAGTATCAAAAACTGTGACTTCATAATCAATATAGAGTAGAACCTCTTTCGTCCACGATTTCAATTATTCGTCCTTCTTCCCCACCAAACTTTATCACTTCTATATTGTGCACACCACACACACCATTTAAGCCACTTACTTCATTCTAGAACATATTGGACTAACTATGGAATTATCCTGCTCGTTGTAGCTTTAGAACAAAAACTGGAACTTAAAAAAAAGGATAAGAAAAAACGAATACGTAAAAAAACTAAAACTTGCCTACTCATATCGAGGTGTTGATGGCGCAGAGTTAAATGTTCAGTAAAATTTGCATTTGACATATGATCCTGTATGAATGCTGCTAAGGGAGAAGACGTTAATATGACAGAAGTTCTGGATATACGTGGAAAACAATTGATTAAGTTTAAGTTTATTAAAGCTATCCAGTATAATGATCATCTACCTTCTGAACTCTAAGCATGTTCTAGGTTAATGGTATGATTTGTAATTAAATTAGAATCATGCGGTTTGCCGAATGTTGCATTTTAATCACGTAGTTTGCCGAATGTTGCATTTGACGTTGGTTAAATAATGTAAATTACTTCCTTTTTTAAGGGCATAGAATTAGAAATCAGATGAAATTCGTTTTTTTTATAAATTTTATATAAAATCAAATCGTGTTCCCTTTTTGTCTGTATAATTACTGTACGTTATGTGGAAAATTAATTACCTTCGCGTATTGATTTTAGATCATCTTTGAAATATATTAACCTACTGAAGATTTAGCGGAATGGCATCAGTCCAAGCTCAAATAAGAAGTTATTCTAGAGCGAGAATAAAACTAATATAACAATATCAACCGCTTATTTTTAAAAATGGCATTTTCATAAACAGATAAATAACTTTCTTTTTACTTTTAGCATTGTGTCAGATGTTAATGAAAATATGTATATTATTGTGACTTAAGGTATAACAAAACAATTATGCATGTACAATTTTCTTCAAAATGGCTTTTATGGTATAAAACGAAAACATAGAATATTCAAAACTGCATGAGCTGAAATCCATTCACATTCGAATGTATATTTTGTTCAATTGATTAAGTTACTCTTTATGGCTCAGAATTTTAACGCAAACCTACAGAAATGGCTATCAGCGCATAGCAGTCCCTAAATGGCAAGGCATCCAGTCAATAACACCCATTCGAATAATGGAATTTGGCCGTCACACTTTGAGATCACTCTCGGAACCAAAGCGTAGCAAGGTATTAGATTCACAGTCAAAGCACACTACAGACCACGCCCGGCCAAAAATCACTTGTTCTACTATATGAAAATATAATATAATTATTTACAAAATTATTTTCTCATAAAGCGTTTAATATCATTTTTTGTGTACCATAGACAATATTTAACGATTATAAAACACATTTAAACATTCAGAAAACATATCTCGATCAATGGTCTGTCTTTTAGTTTTCGAAAAACTAACTAACGTGAACAGGAATTAGTTGAACGTGAACTGTGTGTGTTTAATTCCACTCAGCTGAATTATTAACAAGTCATCCAGAAAACAATATATTTCAAGTCATTTCAAAGTTAAAGAATGCTCTTCGCCCCCCCCCCCCAAACAAAAGATCCAATATGTAGGAATATGTAGAATCCATCATCTTTATCATATTCTGAAATTGTATCAAAAATGCAAAAATAATTACAAAATATTTAGTAAAAGGACTTATTAAAATATGAATTATAATATATATTTTGATATTTATACGCATACTATATAAATTAATTATATCATCGTAACACCTGTTAGGATGTTCTAAAAGAGTTACAACAGCAATACATCGAAGAAGCTTGCTGTAGCACCTTTCTTCAGTACGCAATTGATTAAATAATTTAAATTGTCTGAAACTCTAATATATGAAAAACCAAAGAACATATTTCAACCTTAGAGTATTACTGCTCGTTACTTTATATTTGGTACAATAGTACGCACCAAATATCTAAGCAATATGTAAAGTATGTATCTGGATGAAAACCACAATTGCTCACGTAACGGTTCACCTTTAATATGAGGTCATCTGATTTCTACATCAAATTTAAAGGGTCGAAAACTCTGTGATTAAAGTAAAGAAAAAGTCAATTTCGTTTTTAGTCATCAACTGTTTCAACATATTTTACTTATGATGTATAAGGCTAAAGTAACCTAATTTTGCTTAACAGAAGTATCGAACATTTCTGGCAATTTCTTATTTAATGACTGCATATTTCTTGTATTACTTTATCACTTTTTATAGTTTATTGGTTTTGTACCTTTCGTCTAGAAAAAAAAAATAGTTTTAAAATAAAGTACAAATCTAAATATATAAAGTTGTTTAGGTTAATGCCTATTATACTTGAGCAATATACTTTATAATAGAATTGAATTTCTGTTTATAGAACCGCTTAACGAAAATTAAGACTTACAATATCAATAAAACTATATGCAAGTTACTGATATAATTTTCATATAATCACCTATATGAGTAAGAGTTTCAGGAACTTTCAAGGTTCCAGGTCGAAGAATAACTGCTTCTCCTCTGCCTTTTTTGTTCACTCCATATAGAACTGCCACAAAATGAACCCCAGAAGGAAGCCCGGTTGCTTGAAACACCGGTGATTTGTACGTAAGGTTTGCTCGGATTACATTGTGCGTGGTATCGTGAACTTCCATAACAAAATGTTGTTTCATGCCTCCGTCGTAGCCTTCCATACACTCTATACGGAAGGAAGAGTCAGTCTGGTTTGTGACAGTGCAGTTATGTAATGTTTCTGGGACACCTGATAGACATTGAATAAAGATAAAGCCAATGTAACAATGTTTACTTATACTACTTCACATAAGTAAGCTCACTAATAAAATTACCCATACTAAGCTTTAAATATAATTCTGATAAAATTATATATATGTTCTGTTGTGTCTAAAACACTGAATGTTTTTTTTTCTGGAAAATTAAAATCACCTATTGTTTTTGCACCCTTAACACCACAATGCATATTAAATTTTTTTTTTTTGGTACCACAACTAAGCCAATGATATGTACTTCGAAATTCATCGAAAATTTTTCTCACAAAATACTATTGTTAGCCTAATTTGGAGAAGATGTCTTTCTAGTCACTGTCATATGTGATTCAGTGAATTACTGTATATTGGATATTTAAAGTTTAAACATTACTCATGCGAAATATATAATTAGAATTAGGCTCGTTTCAAAAATAATATTTTTCTAATGTGTAATTATTTTTATTTTTGTGCTCACATAACTGGTATTTCAAATAGATTTTCCTTGTTGGCAGTGGTAACCTTAAGAACTTGTAACCCAAAACACAATTTACAGTTTTACATTTAAAAACAACTCTTCAGATAGTCTTTTTGTTGCACCCATCAAACTATTGAGATCTGTCGTTGAACAAAGGGCTTCTTGGACAGACAAACATATATAGATCAATCCTATATTTTACATGTACAAATGACTAAAATGAATGAGTTCTAAAACTGTAATCAAACATATATATTTGTTATAATAATTTTCATTGGAGTTTTCATCAACTGGGACATTAATAAACCTGATCGGTATTGTTAGTTTATTGTTAATTCATTGCTAATACTCTTTTAGAATATTCTTTGAAGTTTTCCATGTACTTCTCATGCCATGAACGGAAATTAGAACATTATATCGTTTTAAAGATGTAATGTAATATAATATAATATTACAGATTTTATACATTAATTATTTTCATATCCAGTAAGTATACTGGTATTTAACAGCTTTGATATTTCTTTGTAGTAAAGGTATGAGGCATTTACCTTATCAAACTTGGAACATTTTTTAAGGTTATTGAGAGTACACGTTTTCTTTTATTATTTAAGACCTGGAAAACTGATATTATTATGTTAATATTCACACTGAGCACATTAATGCAAAAATAGTATTAATCAGACTTCTTTGTTAACCCGGTCTTGCAGTTAAACTCCTGTACATAAGTTCTACAAATGATCATACTTCATACTGATCTTTCTTACTTTAATTTTTTCATGCTATATAAACAGTGAAAACAACCACTAAAAACTGAATATTTGGGGCTTCACCGCGTTTTATTCAACCCAGAATTTTTGCATCTAGATTCTGAAATTCATGAATAAAGCTTAAAACAGGTTTTCCTTTGAGATGATAAAGTTAAATTGTTATTTCATCTTTACAGTTGGAATACCACTTTTAGTGTTCCAATTCGTTGTATTACCAAACGAGTTTAAGTCATTATATAGGGGTTAACGATGAGAAAGAGTAGAAATTTGTGAACTAGTTACTTATAAGTGTATACATAAAATCAGACTTTTGAATTACAACTTTCTGAACATTTTAAACATCAGTAGTGTAAGTTAATAATGGACATTGTTATTTATCACAAGATAATTGTGATATTGAGTAGAATTAGCTAGGTTTGTTATGTTTAGTCCTTATCAAGTAGTATCTGGACGAGAACCTAATTAGATCGACAGAGCAACACTAGTAATGAAGTCACAAGTTATCAAATGTGTAACAACTGTAGAAACATTTCAGGTGGGCTGAAATACGGAATATGGTGAGATAAAAACTTCATTTGAATTATACGATGTAAACCTTTCACAGAGTTATTATTTACCGTAGCTGTAATGTAAAAAATAAAAACTAGAAATCTAAAAGTACACATAAAATCTTGTTGATTATTAGCTCCATGAAAGTTGTGTAAAATGTTTAATATAAATGCGGTTCAATTGAAAATTTTAGAAATATATCAATGTCCTGTATAGAAATTGTTTTTGGAAAATGATCTACTAGTGCGAGTCTTCATCAGGTCTTCACAGATATGTTATTTTAAATATGTTTACATGGAGCTCGTAATAGGATGTTTATATGTACTCAGGGAGAGTAAAAAAGAATAATAATGGAAGTCATATATATTGTGTGTTTGAAAGGATGAGACTCGCTGCTAGTGAGTGATGCTCAGAAGATGAAATGAGTTTTTGGTTGACGTAGAATAAGCAGGTGGTTTGTGATTTCCGTATTTTAACCCATATTAACTTTCGGCTAGTAAATTTGCATATAGAAGTCTTCTCTGATTATCTTGAGTTTCTAAACTCATGTGATGTCAGCCGTGGACGCGAATATCTGATCTATATGATGTCTTATATAGATTGCATGTTCTCTAAAGCGTTTAGATTTATGAGTCTGGTTAAGTTTTTGTGTTCATTGAACTTTGTCCATGTCTATTTATTTCATGAGAATAAATTTTCTTAGCTGTTAAATATTTTGTTTATCGAGCTAGCTTTTTTCCACAGGAATCTTGTGTAATTTTAGGTTATTGAATGCATTTATAACATTATAAATTTGATGTAAAAAATATGGCTGTTGAGCTTTGACACAAAAATTCCTGATGACAGATGGGAATGAAATATAGGGCTACGCTATCTTTAATCTGGCAAAATTAATCTGTAGTAACTTGATTAAGGCCTGCGTTGGCAGTTAGAAATTGTAATGTTTAACCTGAACAGCAGCTTATGGGCATGCGGTCTAAACATCTAGGTCAGAGATCGTTAGGGTTCAGGTATAACTGTTTCTAATTTGGTACTACTGACCATAGAGAAGTAAACATCCGCTGCCACATAGATTTTATCTGGCTTTTTGAACCGAATAACAGGATTGACTGTCATATTTATAATGTATCCATAACTAAAGTTTAGATTGTATTCAGCCTCTAAAACGTTTGATTTTTATTTTTATTTATTTAATTTTTTTCTGCAGCAAAATTAATTTGTCAAGTACTGCCATCTGGTAGATCAAAAACTGGTTCTCAAGTAAACTCTGCACGGGTAGATGTAGTCTGTTAAATCTTTCAAGTTTATTAAAAGCTTAAACCAAAACGGTATTCTTATACAACCCGCAGACCGAACTTTAAGAAAACATATGTGATAAATGCAGGAATTTTCCTTACACATGTCATTTCTTATACTTCAACATCGTAAGATGTACTCCCTTTTTAACAAAATTTAATTTTTCATTTAAACCAATCTATCAAATCATGCATGATTTTATGTTTTTCTTCGAGAACATCGATAGCTGAACATAATAATAGGAACTTTCAAAACCCACAGGTATTCATAAAATATTTTAAAACACATACATGCATTTAACATATATAATGCACATATATATACGTATTAATTTCATAATTAATCAATGAAGCTTACTTGTTTAAGAAAGATTTAGCGATGATTTTAAAATGCACTCTGTTGACTTGCTCACGGTTATCATCTTTGATTGTAAGCGTTATTTTGAAGGTAAAATATTTCAATACTACAAGAGCAAAGTTACTATGGTTATATATAAATATAAATATTCTACAACCTTTCTTCTATTTAGAGAAATATCAACCATATTTTACACCTTAACATTTATTTCGTCTCTCTGTTTCAAGGTTATTTCCTGTTCATCTGGAACGCTATGAAACAGAAGAGCACTGAACATCTTAAATAGCCCAAACAGAGATAAAACAAAACGTACTTAAAGTACAGTTGCTAAATATAACGATAATTAAACAAATAAAACACTAAACAGTAATCATTGGGAGAAAAAAGATATTTAACAAAAAAAAAACGTCCACTGGATCTCCTTACACACTTTGATAGCTTTATCCCGTTTACGTATAAACGAAACCTTGTTAGCTGCTTACTAAACAGAGCTTCCAACCTCTGCTCCACATATCTTAATCTACACTCTGAAATTTCGTTCTTACATGATATCCTGAAACGCAACTGCTATCCACAACCCTTATTAGAAAACATTACCAACACCTTCCTAACAAAGAAACTCACAAATCCAATTAAGATACCAACTGTACCTAAACTTACTATATACTCGTGTCTTCCCTATACTGGCAAACAAAGCTTAAATTTAGAAAAAAATCAACTTAAACGCATACTTGGTCGTTACTACCCTCAAGTGGATTTCAGATTAGTTTTTAAATCCACATCACGCATAAAAAAATTTCTTCCCTACTAAAGATCTCCTCCCCATTCCTTATTGTTCTTGGCTTGTCTATCTTTACACGTGTGGAGACTGTAAGGCCTCCTATATTGGCAAAACCAAACGACATTTAAAAGTCAGAGCCTATGAACATATGGGAATTTCCATCAAAACACACAAAAAATTTAATAACCCTGTGTTTCCTCTATACGCCAACACAGTGAAGAAACAGGACATCAACCTATACTATC